CCGGGTTCCGCAGTGGGAGCGCAGCGGCGGCGGCGGCGCTGGACGACAGCCTCTGCAGCTGTCTCCTGTCTCCACCTCCTTATCATTGTCTCACGCTCTGCATCCAGTGTCAAACGCAGCACGCCGACGGCTGTGCGGTGCTGGACCACTGCCTGGCGGAGAAACACCACCTCGTGTCCCAGGACTTCAGAGAACCGGGTGGAACCTGTCTGCAGGACCACAGCCTCAGAGGACACGCCCCTGTCACGTCTCCCACTCTGTCCTGCAACGGCGCCCCCTGTGACTCCATGCTCAGCTGTCAGCTGACCACAGCGAAGAACGTGAAGAGGCGCCAAAGTGACAGGGAAAGCCCGGACCTGGAGTCAGGCCGTCTTCAGGACGGCGCAGTCTCAGAGGCGGTGGACAGTCTGTGCAGCTGCGTCCAGTCTCCGCACCTGTCCCTCAGACGCTGCGTCCAGTGTCGGACCGTCCACAACGACGGCTGTGCGATGCTGAAGCTCTGTGAGGAGAACCAGCACCTCCTGGAGGGCGGCTCCAGTATGGTCTCCCTGCAGAGGGAGGATGGGGGGGCAGATGGCAGCAGAACGTCCCCCGCTCTGTCCAGCAGCAGTTCTCAAATGTCCTCCTTGGTTCTGCACGACCCCCAGTCCAGCATCCCCTCCTTCCTCTGTCCAATCACCTTCCACGACTGCTGTAACCTGGGCCACCTGGACCCCAAGGTCCTGTGTCGCAGCTGCAATGTTTTTCACTCCACCTCCTGCAGGGGGCAACAGATGTGCCTCGAGCTGGACCACAGCGTCCAGCCCTTGGGGGTGTGTGTCTGTGGGAGGACCTGCTCCAGGAACCCGCTGGTCCTGTGCCGGTACTGTGGCAGCGAGCTGTGTAACGAGTGCTGGTACCACAGCCCCGTGGTCTGCAGGGTCTGTCACCTGACCTACGACCAGTCGTCTCCGGTCTGACCCGGACAGACGCGGTCAGCTGATCTGAAGTGCCTACGATCCTATGACGTCACCAACAATCTGGTCCAGTCCTAACCCTCGCCCTAACCCCCCATGAAGACTGTGTCATAGCCTGACACCCAGTGCCTGTTGAGGGCGGGGTTACTCTGACTCCGCCCCCTCTAGACCTTTTTTAAACAAACTGCCTTCTCGACAATGAACCCTTTGATCTGAGGTACTGGGATCACAGTCACTGTTACTTCACGTGCTCAGTCAGAGGGAGGGGCTTATTCGGTGCTGAAGCTCCGCCTCTGTCATTTTAGTTTCTTCATCAAAGACTGCCCCCCCTGGTGTTTGTCTCCCCCTACAGGACAGAGCGTGCACTGCCCCAGTCCCTGTATCTGTTCAAATACATGTTCTTTATGGTCAAACAAAATCCAGCTTCAGCACAAACCAGGAAATATCTCTCTCTCTGTTGGAGCGTCCCTCTCTCTCTCTCTCTCTCTCTCTTGCCCCCTCTCCCTCTAATGTGTTATTAATTAGATGCAGGAGTGTGTATGTGTGACATCGCTGACTGGACCTTCACATCTCATTACACTTCGACCAATCAGAGCGCAGCGAGCGTGACAACTGTTTATTTATGCACAGAGCTGAAACCAGCGGCGAGCAGGGGCAGCTGGGAACTCTTCTCACACACACACACACACACACACATCGGTGCTCAGTCCAGTTTATGACGTCTGATTTCTGACTGTGTCACTGATCAACAATAAAAACGACTTCTTTCATCTACGGCTCTGGTTCCACCTGGTTCCACCTCCGCTGCACCAAACCTCATAGAGAAAACCAGTGATTTAAGGTCACAGAGACACGGACGCTGCTGCTTCACCGCCCGCCTCCACCACTGTTTCCATCCGCTGGTTCAAATCCTGAAGGTAGATTCACCTCAGTACCTGGGTTGACCACAGGAGGCAGCAGAGGACCAGCAGCTTTAAAGTCTCTGTGAACTAAAAACTGATTTTCTCCATGGGGTTTGGTGGGTAGATGTTGGTGTGTTATGTTCACCCACGCACACACAGATACACGTTCACATGTATGACGTGGTCACTGACAGAAACACAGCTGCTCAGTATAAATCTGAGTTTGTTTGTTTTAGCCTAAGTGCTCAAATTATGAGTGTGTGTGTGTTTGCAAACGTGTCAGTCTGTGGCTCTGTGTGTGTGTGTGTGTGGAAGAACTCCACTTCCTCTGGGATTAAGTGTTAATTTCAGGGTGGTCCCAGTCTGAGGGTGGTAATCCTACACACACACACACTTCTGCGACATGTGTGTGTGTGTGTTTATTTACAGTTGGTAAAAAGTAGAGCGCCATCATCTGCTCCACTGAAGCCTTTCTGTCCTGAATATCCCAGAGTTCCTTGTGTTACAGCCGTCTCGCTCACGTTAAAGATAAAATAAATATTTGCGTGTGTGTGTTAAACACTGCTGCGCTGTGTTTGTGTGTGTGTGAACTGCAGAAATAATCACAGAGTTTGGACCAAAACAGTCGGTAAATCAGTCTGTCCAACACGGACACGTCCAGAAAAGAACACGATGTGGAAACACGGGTTTGTGATTTTTGGATTATTATAAACATCGCATCGTACTTCAAACTGTTTACCAATACTTTGTCATGACTACACACACGGGGGGGGGGGGGGGGGGTCATATAAATGTATTATGTACATGTAAACTCATTAACTTCCAAACACTGAGTCATTACTGCCAGTCATTGGTACTTTATGGAATGTCAGAATGTTTGAAAAAAATATGTACTTTCCCTTTAACAAGAAAAGGAACCAGGATCAAAGTCCAGGGAGAAAATCAGTGATTTTAGCTCAGACAGACTCAGACTCAGCAGATGTTTGTCTTCCTTGAAGCTAAAATCACTGTTCCTTCTATGAACTCTGATGATGGAGAAGAAACGATTCCCAAAACACACTTTTCCACTTGTGAAAATCATTGAACGGATTGTTTTAATCTCTCTAATCTGAGTTTCTTTGCAGTTGTTTCGTCATCAGACGTCTGAATATTTTACCTCACACACAAGAAGTGAAACTTCAACAATCTTTTCATCCATGAACTAAATCACACTCGGCTCGTTGCTGTGAGTGTAAACAGTGTTCAGGACGTGGAGATATCCCCGTTTACACATCGATACAGTGAAATATAATGTGATGAAATGTTCAGTTAAATCAACCTCCAAACATCGACTCAGTCCCGACTTTTACGCATGCGTGTTGACGAAGCTCAGCTTCCTGCTGCTCCACGGCTGTAGATGAAGATCAAAGTGCATTTGAGTTGGAAACAGAAGAGGTAAAATAAAAATAAATCAAAGTTTCTCGGAGAATTCGAACTCTTACGTCTTCTTCACGTCCGTGAGAAAATGCGCTGCGCGTTTTTGCGAGTTTTATTTCCCCCGGAATCGCAGAAGATTTATCAGAGAAATACCGAAAGGAATCCACGTTTCAGAAGAATTCAGTCCAGGGTTCGTTCTTTGCTTTTTCTGGTCCGGTGAATACTGGAGAACCTGGTCCTGGAGTTGGACTAATGTTGGGAGCCGGTCTGTATTGGACTGAAACAGTCAGTCACACTGCGCCAAAGACCAAACACTGGAGAACTATTTAAAACGAACCGGAATCAGTTCTCCGAACATTTAAATCGTTGTTGTTGAAGTTGGTTTTATTTTTGTGACTATTCTTTGCATCCGTGTGTAAAATGTTGGTCGTTTTTTTGTTGTTTGGGAGAAATAATAGAAACTGAGCAACCGCAGAATCAGGGCGTCACAAATCCTCAGTTTTAGGCCGTGTTTTGGAGACAGCGCCCGCTGGTGGTCTGGTCACACGTCGGCTTCGTCACTAAAGTTCTTTTCTTTACACTTCCACTTCCGTCTGGACTTCTCCAGGTTCAGGTGAGAGCGGAGCGGGAATCCCAGCTGTCGGGGCCGCGCACGCAGCACCACGCACCGACGGCTGCCGTCTCCGCCGGGAACCCGCAGACTCTGTGTCTGGGGCTGCGCGCTTCCTCCTCATCCTCGTTTTTGGCCAAAATGCTCTCGATGCTGAAGCTCCTGGATTTGGTTCCCTTCACCGCGGGAGGTGCAGCCGCGCGTGCGGTTCCTGCGCACGGGTCAGCCCTGAACCTGTGCGCGTCGCTGCAGAGCGCGCACATCAGAGACGCGCCGTGAAGACAGTGTGCCGGACTGTCCTGCTGGTCTCTGGCTTTCTGGCTCTCCGAGGACTCTCTCTGTTTCCTCACAGAGGTGAGGGGGGCCCTGGGAGTCCCCGCGGGGCCCCTGCTGCGCCTCTGAGCCTCCTGCTGCTGCTGGGTCCGGTTCTTCCTCTTCCTGCGCCGGTAGTTCCCGTTCTCGAACATGTCCAGACACCGTTGGTCCAGGGTCCAGTAGCTGCCCTTCCCGGGCCGGCCCTTCTCTCTGGGCACCTTGATGAAGCAGTCGTTGAGGGACAGGTTGTGGCGGATGGAGTTCTGCCAGCCCTGCTTGTTGTCCTGGTAGAAGGGGAACCGGTCCATGATGAACTGGTAGATGCCACTCAGGGTGGCGCGCTGCTGAGGCGCGCTCCTAATGGCCATGGCAATCAGGGCGATGTAGCTGTAGGGCGGCTTCTGGGGGGGCTCCCGGAGGCCCTGCGGCCCCGGAACGAGACCCGCATGCAGCGCGGGCACGACTCCCGCTGAGCCGTCGGTGCTGCGCGCGTACAAGTAGAAAAGCGGGTGCGCGGAGAAGCCGAGGCCCGGGGTCTGAGCCGAGGCTCCGATGGGCGGGAGGCGGGTGTAGAGAGTCATGAAGGCCGGTGATGGAGCGCGGTGGAGCAGGGAGGCTGCAGCTGTGCCGCCGCCGTGAGTCTGAGCTCAGAGTTCTGCAGAGTTGGCTCTAAATGTCCGTCACACACACTTCCTGCAGGGCCACCCACAACAATCCAACTTTACACTACACTCTGTGTGTCTGTGTGCACGTGCGTGTGCTCGTCAGCAGCTGCAGCAGCAGCAGCCAATCAGGGGGCGTCTTATTTCCCGCGTGTGTTTTCAGGATT